ATGACATTTCCTGAATTTGGTATCGATTGCAAAGTTGAAGACGGCAAGACTTATTACAGCGAACGGGGTGAGAAATATAGGGAAACTGAAAAGATAAGTAAGACTGCCAACTATTATGTTGTTTGTCTTACCGACCAAAGAAAACTAATGAACGGATTTAGGTATATTAAAGAATTATTATTACAAGGTCATAATTTTAACATGTATGAAACTTTTGAAAAACTGAAAGCAAATAGTATTAAAGTTTATGCGGTGAAAACCGATGCCTTTCATATTGCAAAGAAAGATGTAAGGAAGGCAAAGAAGTTGTTAGATTTTCATAATGATATTGGAGGTTGGAGAGTAGAAAGAAATAAAGTCTATGAACTGGAAACTGATTACAATTGGAAATTTAATGAGTTAGTAAAAATACCAACTTTTGAGAATGAAACAATACCGATTGAAGATGAGTGGGATGTTGAAAGCATCTGTAATAAGATTGTTGAAAAAAGAAGAGTTATGATTAGAGCAAAATTTGCTGGGAGCGGTAAAAGTTTTATAGGCAAGTATATGGACAATTTAGGACACAATACACTTTTTGTAGTGCCTCAAAATATGTTAAAACAAGAGATTGAATGCGAAGCGGTGACAGTAAATACATTCTTTAGTATTCCAGTTGATAAAGGGGATGACCTACCAAAGTTTGATTATTCAGATTTTCAATGTATAGTGTTTGATGAGATTTATATGTCCAGTCCTTACATATTGAACAAAATAAGGGTGTTTGCAAATAACAATCCTGACATCGTAATTATAGGTGCCGGTGATGTCAAGCAACTGCCACCGATTGAACCTTTCACTAATACTCAAAATGCAGGCGAATACATTGACAAATGTATTGACATTATTTTTAAATATAATATATTTTTAAAGATATGTAAGCGAGTAGGTGGTAAGGATACAGAAGAAGGAGAAAGAAACAGAAAGAAACTGAATGAAATCTATGATGACTTTTGGATTAAAAAGATGGCAGTTGAAGAATGGATAGTTAAGCATTTCAAATTTACTAAAGATGTTATGAATAGTGAAAACAACATAGCATATACAAATATTAGATGTGAGGCAGTATCCAATGAGATTAGAAAAAGATTAGGTAAAACATGCAAATATGAAATTGGAGAAATCTTAATATGCAGACTTTACAAAAAGGACAAGGAAGGAAAACTGAATGTTAATATTAGGTGGAAGGTTGTTAATAACGAAGGATACAAGATAACAATACAAGATATTAAGGATGCAGAGAACATTAGAACACTTGACATTGATATTGTAGATAAGCATTTTAGATATGCCTACTGTGCTACCACTCATAGCAGACAGGGGACATCAATCAGTGATAATATGACCATTCACGAATGGAACAAAGATTATTTAGTTTGTAGGGAATGGTTGTGGACGAGTATCACACGAGCGAGGGATTTTAACAATGTCTATTTTTACAAGAACAAAGAGGGAGATGAAGATATGTTTAAGAGTTTGGTAATCAACTATTTTAAAAACAAAGTTGAAGGATATAAACAGCAAGATAGAGTAGCAAAAAGAGAAATAGACGAAGAGCAATACATTGACGAAAACTGGTGCTTAAAATACTTCAAATCCTGTTGCCAAAACTGCGGAATTAAATTTAATCTAGATACAAGAGGAGGAAAAATAAGTTCTAACTTCACTGCTCAACGTTGTGATAATGAGTTATGCCACACAGTTGAAAACTGCACCGCCTTTTGTGTCTATTGCAATTGCAGCGCGTCATGAATAATTTTGAAAATGAGTTTTTCAAAATTATTTTATTAACTTAATTAATGAGTTCAACACAAGAAATTATTAAGAGTGTATATTATGATAGAAGCGGTTATGGTTCAAAACAAACAACCCTCAAGGATGCTAAGCAAAAAGATAGTAGTATTACAATAAACGATATTAATGAATTCTTTAGTAAGAATGTAGAAGAAAAAAGAAAGATGAGAGGTGAAAATAGTTTTATTGCTCCGCATAGTTTCTGGGAATTTCAAGTTGATATGTTTTTCATTTCTAAAAATGATTTGGAAAATCAAACATTTAGAATTGGAATGATATGCATTGATATTTTTAGCAAATATATGCATATCGTGCCAATTAAATCCAAGACACCGCCAGACATTTTAGCAGGAATGATGGAGAATATCAATAAGATGGGTGGCAAACCGAAATTAATTTATACCGACGAGGAAGGCAGTTTTTTTAATCAATCAGTATTAGATTATTTGAAGGAGGAGAAAATTGAATTACATAGAACTAGAGGTCATCCAGCATTTGCGGAGCGTGGAATTCAGACTTTTAAAGATCAACTGTTTAAACGAGTTGAAGCGGACAAGAAAAATGGAAAGCAGAATATCCAATGGACGGATTAGATTTTTGAAATATTATTAACTTACAATAATAAGATGGTGCATTCTACCACCCGCTTTGTTCCAGCACAGGCAAGATTAAAAAAGAATGAGTTTGAGGTAAAAATGAATATTACAATGCAAGCAAAGAAAACTAGAATGTATCCAGAATTAAACGTAGGAAGTAATGTAAAAATAATGAGGAAGAAAGGCATAAGCGAAAAGGCACATACCAGTCATTGGTTAAAAGAAGTATTTAAAGTAAAATCAATTGATAGTAAATTAGGGCAATCTTACTTTCATTTGGAAGGAAAAACTAATCCTTATTTGAGACACGAATTATTGAAAGTTTAATATCAAACGAAATACAGTTAAAGAAAAAACGCCTTATAATATTAGTGAAATGTTGTTTAACTATAACAAGTGCGAATGCTGTAAATGCAAAATGAATAATTTGAGTTTAACCTTACATCATATACTACCGGCAAATGTATGTAATAAAATAAGTGAATATAATGTATATTGCAATCAATGCTGTATAACAAGAGACCTTGAACAGTTTTTTCTTGAAGAACATAAGGATAAGGGATATACAAAGTTTCAATTACAATTAAAATTCTTTATGCGACACCAAGCAAGATTTCCTATACACTTTTACCAGAAGATTTCCAGAAAGTCATTTGAAAATGAAATTGATGAATTCTTTAGTAATATAGATTTAATTAGGAGGTTTGGAGGAATAAACGCAATTAAACCATATAAAGCATTTGTCAAAAATACCGTTATTTGTTTGAATGGATTGACTGGCATTTATTAGACAAAGATAAAATAAACGAAGTCTTGAACGAATTTAGAGCAACTAAATATAGTATATGGTATTACTACAACACTAAATATAAAGTATGTCTATTGTTGTATTTATTCTTTTGGGAATATATTTATTCAATAATAGGAAAAAACAATATCAAATATATATACATTGGTGATATAGATAAATATGTAGATTACATATTTGAAGACATATTGCCTGACCATTATTTTAATCCATAAACCTTACAATAAAAAACATTGTAAGATTTATGATTTCAAAATGACTTGAAGAAATAATAACTTAATATATTATAGTGAAATGAGTGATACAGTCGGTATCAATGCTAAAAATATATTGAAAAACAACTTTATGAGTTATAAATGTAAAGACTGTGAAATGCTCAAATTACCAATTGAACGGGGTTTTGCAAATGGCGTTTGTAATAATATTTGTCAATATATGATATGCAATAATTGCAATAGAATTATAAAAAAAAATGATGATATGAATAACAAAGATATTGATATTATACATAATGAAGCTCTTGATGATGATTTAGAAATATTTGTGTTTATTGAAATGAATAATTTCTTAACTATAGAAGGGTTTGATCATTTATTAGAATGTGACGACGAAGGATATAATAATGAATTTACTTTTAAGTATTATTGTATGGTAAAAAGATTATACAATATGTCTTTTAATATTAAACGTTTAAACTATGTTGTATTGTTTAATTTTTTAAATGAGTTTTTAAATGATGAGTATAGAATTGACGAACTTAGATATACAATAACACATGCAATTAGAACAATGGGGTTGTTTAGAACAACAATAGGAAGTAATATTTATAATGAAACAACGTGTGATAAAATAATAGAAAGACTTAAATTAATAATTTAGTTTTAGGCGAAATAGTCCTAAAGAAAAAACACCTTATATTAATAGTGAAGAAATGAACGGTATTGAAATCAATAAGTATATTAATAAGAAATGCTACGACTGTTGCCACTTTAAAAAAGAAAATATGGAATTGTATAAATTAAACTTACCTAATGGAATAATAAATAATATTATTGATTATGCTTTGGGTAAAGAAGATTTATGTGAAAATCGTAAAACCTGGAGAGATAACCAAGCTATAATCAGTTGTGTGTTGAGAATAAAAGGAAGACATAATAGAAATGTAGAAGATGACATTTTGATATTTTTAATTGTGTATGAAAGACCACCTTATAGTTATGTTAGAGCATTTCTGAAAATCAGTAAGAAAAAATATGAAATGATTGCAGGTATATTATGGATGTTGGCTTATCATAAAAGGGAAGGGGTTGATGTAAAAGAAGACATTAAAACATATATTGAAAGAAAAAAGTTTAATGTCAAAAACTCAGTTAGAGATATTAATATTATTTTTAAAATGATGCATGAAAGGGGTAAGATGTATCAACAATTTAATAGTCACCAATTAAATTATTATCCTGAACTTAAACTATAAATTAACCCATAAACCTTACAATAAAAAACATTGTAAGATTTATGTTTTGAAATTATGGGGATTTTATATTTTGGGATTTTGGAAAAATATATTTTGGGAATTTGGGATTTTGGAAAATATATTTTGGGATTTTAGAAAACTATATTTGGGATTTTGGGAATTTGGGATTTAGGTGGTAAAATTGGTTGAGGTGGCGTGCCCCTGTTGGTTAATATGGTTGAAGTGGTTGACTGAGGGGATTTTATCTGAACTGGGGCATGCCCTTTGGTAGGTGTTAACGGTAGGGTGCCTCCAAGACGACGTCATCCTCCGCAAAGCCCACCATCAGCAGCCTCTCGCGAAGCCGCGCTTGCCGCACTCTCGGCTTTGACTGCAGGCCTGGGCAGAACCTCCAGCAGACCCGCTTCACAGAGTTCTGGCCACGGCACCTTCCAACACACACGCACAGATCAAATCGCGTTGCAAATACATATGGAATACATATGAAATACATGTTCAATCAGATGCACATCAGACATGTCAATACGAATTGCGAGCTCCCAGCCTCGGGGCTCGGGAAATCAAGGCCCGCCAAGATGCCCAGCGCTTCCACGAGCACATCATGCCTCTCACGCACTTCACGTTCCACGCGTACGTTCGATCGTTCCACGAGTGCGAGCGCCTGTCAGCTGTCGTCTGAATGAGCTTCACCATCTGCGCAGGCTAAGCAAAAGAAACTTCCCCGCTTCGAAACGGGACATCCGTCATCGCCCAGCTATCCCTGCTGCCCACCGCTTGCGCTGGTGTCAAATCTGGCCTCCAGCAGCCAAGCATCGCCTCGCAAAGAGCATTCACAGCTCAAAGATGCTCAGAGTCTCTCAGTGCTTTGATGCCTCCCATCACGTCTAGCAGAATGGATCGGCTGGCTTTGTGGCTGGCAATGTTGCGAATGACCTGCGAGCAAGGGATGCCTTGCCCACTTGATGTGAATGCTCATGAACCCTTCCAAACCCCACGCTGCTCCAGCACATGACATGCCCCCGTCGCGTTGTATGCCTTGAGCACAGTGGGCTGCTTGTGCTTGATAGCACGCAGCGCTACGGCCACGAAGGATTCTTCCGCCAGGAGGAGACAAGCAGCGGCCTGTCCGAAATGGAGCCTCAACCGGCCTCGACCGGCCTCACCGGCCTCATCGCTTCTTCTCGACAAGGGAAAATGGATCATTCGCCAATCGATTTGTTTTGTCTCATGTTCTAGTCAGGACCAAGATGCCCAGAAAGTCGGACCCATTCCCCTACGGTTAGGCGGCCTCGTCAGCGGCCAAGTTCACCAACAGGGCTACCGCCTCCGGCTCCTCACCCGAGAACACCGGGCCAAGGCTTGGCAAACCGAACGTAGAGATAACAAAAAGAAACGAAAACCCAATGGCATGAAATTAATTGCGAAGAAACATAACTGCGATGGCAAGAAGCGAGCAAAACAGCTCGCAAGACACTCAGTCCTGCTCCTTGCTCCGAGCCTCATGCTGAGACTGAACACCCGCACTCGTTGTGCAGATGAGGCTAAGGGAGTAGCCAGCTGCATTGCCAAAGCTGGTACTGTGGGGTGTTTGCTGATCATGGCGGACCTGTTCAACTTCAATGCAGCTGGGGCTTGCAATCTCGACCTTCCCAGCCTTCCCAGCCTTCCCAGCCTTTCCAGCCTTCCCAGCCCTGCCTCACTGGTGGATCCAGGGTCAGGTGGTACAGCACCTTGAGAGCTACCTGAGAGGAGTTGCTAAGTCAAGTCCTGAGTCGTCACAAGGAACTGCACGCCTTGCGGGTGCCAGCGTTCTGCGCTCCGTACACCAGGCGCGGGATCACCGCGCTCCTCGATAGACTCGACCACTCGACCAGCCGACCAAACGCTCCACCCCCTCTGAGGATCCACTGGGCCGCGGGCTGCGCTAAAGCAGCGCGGCCTTTGGCGTCGAAGGAGAAATTGTAACACCTGCGATGAATCTTCGGCTCGCAGGGGAAAGTCCGATCTCCCCTTCTCTCATTCTCAGGCGTCTCAGGCAGGCACGTGCGCAAGGCCATGCTGAATACCTCGCGCGTGCGAGTGGCCGTGCGTGGCCATGCAAATGCTCACGACTCATCGCCTCTGAGGCCGGGTGGCCCAAGAGTTCCACCAGCCGTGGCAACTCGCCCATGATCTGGTCCTGGCATGGCGGCATGGCGGCATGCCCGTGCGCTGCCCGAAATGAGCTCAATGCGCTCCTTGTTCTGCTCAAAGATAGACAACTTGTGAATCATGCTCAAGGTGCTCCAAAGCAAGTCCTGCGCCGCTCAGTGTCTAACCTTTGATCTGCAGAGTGTGGCCCAGTTTTGCACTTGCCCCCTCAAGTCCTCATGCTGTCGGCTCAAAAGCGGCGTCAGCCGCTTGCAAAGCTTTTGCTTCACTAGCTTGAGCTCCTCGACCGTGTCCTCCAACATAAGAGAGGCGTGCACCCGGTTGCGAGCTCTGGAAAGCAGATTTCTGCACATTCCCAACACTGGCCACGATGAGCCATGCTGTCCGTTTGGTTTGGGCCACCAAGGTCTGACAACAAGGCAAACAAGGCACGCACTGCACGGCTCCTCTGACAACGCCCGAAGAACCAAAATGCAGATCTGCAGCAAATGATCCTGGCAGGTCCATGTCCATCACGGAACTGACACCATGCAAGCTTGAACCCATTGCCAAAGGCTCCTGGCGGTCTAGCAAAGCACGGCATCTATCCTCCTGCCGCTGCAGTTCAGCTCGCCTCATCCGTTCCCGAAGAAATCAGCCAGTCATGTTAGCTCTCGCTGTGGCCAGAGCTTTTCGCCGGAGACCTTCGAGTCCTGGGAAACCTCATTCCCGGTGCATTCTATCGTCACATGTCATTGAACATAGCGACTGCGTTGAAGATAGACCGGCTGTGACGCTGCATTCAGCCCGGGACTATCTGTTCCTGGGAAGCCTCCAAGTCCTGCAATACAGCCATTTCCAAATGCGAGACACGGCCCATTTTGCTCCTTCTTGAGGACATTGCGACGCTTACTTTCGTACCTCGGACATTGGCTCAAGCAGAGAGAGAGAGAGAGAGAGACCTACCGCAATCTTCACTCCAAGCTCTCGACTCCAGGACTCGCATGGTGATCTCGCCGCACTGGTACTTTGAGAGGGCAGAGTGAAAGCAGGAGAAGTTTGCAAGGATCAGGAAAATGCCTGGACTGCAGCCGAGTGCACGGGATTCATTTCAGGGAAGCAGCCTGTGATGGCGACTGCCAGCTCATAGGACCTCTTGGCGTTCTCTCGAAGCTCGCGACTCAAAACCTCAGGGCAGGGCTTGCCAAACTGTTGACCTTCCCAAGGCACTAGGCGGAACTAAGTGCGCCGACCCCTAGAAGCGATGAGTGCTCTGTGATCTGCTCAAGCACGTCGACCTGACAACTCGAGAGCGTAGCAAACACTGGAGACTCCGGAGAATTCAGTGACTTGATGTGCTTGTCTGACTTGTCCGAAGCCTCAGTGCAGAGTCTCAACAACTTCTGCGCACCCTGAACCTTCATCTCCATCTGCTCCTTGGAAGACCAGGGTCGAGCATGGCTCCGTGCCCATGAGCATATCGACTCGCATCTCCTCGTACATCTGTTCGACATATTCGTCCAGGCAGCGCACCTGTCTCCAAGAACCAACTTCCCCCGAATTTCTGAATTTCTGAATGCCTTGCACAGGTTGCAAGAGAGCCCAAGCCGCAAGCTCGGGGAGAAACCAAAGTCTTCCTGTCAAGCTGAGCTTCCCGCGGAGGCAGGCGGCAGCAAGTCTTCCAACCTCAGTGACGCGTTCGAGCCTCTCGCCGCGCCATCGACAGGGACTGAATCCGCAACCAGATATCGCCAGCCGTCATCCCTCTTCTGTTCCAAAACATCCAAAAACGCACTGGTCAAAATGCAGGAAAGGGAGGAAAGGGCGCAAAAGCCGAACACAAACAGATCCGCAATGAAAACGTCAGCTCCAGTTCAGTTGCCCCCTGTGCTCCGCGCCTTGGCACGCCTGGCACGCCGGAGGTGCGGGTGGAGGACGTGGCGCCGAAGGTCCTGGAGGGACCTGAGCCACGCGAGCCACGCGAGCCACGCCAGCCATGGAGAATCCCGAAAGATCCGGGTTTGGTCAAACATACTCCGTGATCCCGTCGAGAGGGATATAGGGAGGCCCCCCATGTCCACGAATCCGCGGGCTCGCAAATTGCCCCATGTCCTCTTGAGAAAGCATGTTCTCTTGGGAAAGCAATTTTGGCCGTGCCTCATGTAACTGCAGGGACGCTCGGCCATGCATATCATCACTTCCCTTATGTAAGGAGTTGGCACATCTCTCTGGAGACCGTTCACGTTGAGGAACTGCACAGGCGCACGAGGTGGCATTCACAGCAAGATCGTGCATTTTGCACTCAGCCGTGATCAAAACCTTTGTAAGTCGCAGTGGCCGGCAAAACTTGACCACACAGGTCATCACAACTCACATCATGACCAGCTAGCCATGATGTGATTGAAGTCATTGATACTGCTACTCAGAAGTGATGCAGCGCTCAAGCGAGAGCGCTGCTTCGTGTAGTACTCTTGCACAACATGCACACATCAAAAAAGCCGATTCCCCTTTCCCTGTGTGGGCACATGATGGCAAACCAATGCTTCTGGTTAGCCAGAACCTGTCCTACATAGGAAAGCCTAATCAATGCATGCCGTTTGTGGGCGCACCGCTTTTGGCCCAAGAAACCGAGGTCTTCCGGCCTCAGCGTTCAACACTTGTGATGCGATGAGCTCGATCATATTGAAGTACCGCGCATGCCGTGCTATCCGCTGATTCAGCAGATGCAATTTGATGGCTCAACGAAAAGCCAATGGCTTGCTGTGCTTGCCGCTTTCTGTCAGGATCTTGCTCGGATCTTGGTCTTGCAAAGTGAGTGGGGTCGAGTACAGCCCAAAGGGGCGCCACATATCGTAGTTTCTGGCCTACTGTTGCAGCGTTCAAACTCTTTTTCCTACTCACAAGATATCTCGTGAGCCAGAAGCCAGCAAGCCGTTGATCCCACGAGGGCGGGGGGGGCGCGTGAGCCACTGACCACGCATGCAAACGCGCACACACACACACAGACGGACACTCAGCAGGGCAAGGAAAACTGTCGCCACACCCTATAAATACTTCTTGTACATGTCTGGGGTTCCAGTGAAATTCCTTCAAATGCTTCCACAGAACAAACCAACCTGCTGCACTGTCCCCTGACGCCGCGCCCATGGATGGGTCTAGGCAAAGAAACCAAGACGGTTGGCAAAGTACACCAACGAAAAGGCGGTGGACCATGACCGGAAGGGCTCTTTACGTGGCCCAAGAGGTGATGTTTGCACTGGAGGAGAATCTAGGGACCCTGGCCAGGCTGTGTGAGAGCCTGGCGCAGCTTTCCGTGCCCTTAGCGCAAACGCATTTTGTTTGCATCGCCTATATCTACAAAAAATGCGTTGCGTCAGCATCCGCTGACTTGTCTTCAGCAAATTGCAACTACAGGCGTCTAACCGCTGGTCTCTTCGGTCGACTCGTTGGAACTGCTGTCCGCGTCTTCGGGCAACGACTCGTTGCGGCCAATGAGCAACAGGGCCTGTGACTTGGTCCTAGCAAAATAGCCATACCTGGCTGCGTCGTGAGGCATGCCCGTAGCAGCACAGGCAGCTGCAACACTGGGCAGCTCCACACTGCCTGCCAGACTGTCCACGCGAGAGGATAGTCTCTCCGCTTGCGAAGCTGCACACTTCAGAGTCACATCCAGGCTTGTGAGGGATCCTCAAGCACATCAACTTCAAGATAGCCTTCTGCTGTTGGCACCGCGACCCGAGCTACTTCCTCCGGATATGTGGATCGCACTTGCTGGATGTTGGCCCAACGATCTACTGGCCCAAGACGGTACAGTGGCTGAGGCAACCTCATGAGGGAGGATTCACCCTTGTGCATCTTTGAGAGCATATTCTCGTAGGCGATGGTGTAGTTGCGCCAAGAGTCTTTTATTTTGCGAGGATCATTGCTCGCAAGCTGATCATCCAGCTTCGTCCTGGGTCATGCGCTGCAAATGAGCCTTGAAGGAAGCCTGCTCCTTCTGGGGAAGTCGCTGATAGTATTGTTCAAGCTCTCCTGAAGACATACCTTCTTTGTCAATGCTGTCTTCATAGTGCAGCATGACAAAGCGGGCGTTGGGGAATTTCCCTCTCTGTCCCTTTATATAGGCGTTCAGCTGAGAAACCTTGGCCATGTCCGGGATTTGCTTGTTCATGTAGTTCATGATGACAAGGGCCTTGGAAAAACTCAAGCCCAAATCGCGCAGCACGTCCAGGTCGTGCTGCGTCTCATGGGACTTTGACGCCTGGCACATCACCACTGGCAAAGTCCTGGGGTCCCGGAGAAATGCTTTCGTGATGTTGGCGATCTGCCAATAGTCACTCTCTCCTCTGTCCTTCATGCCCGGCATGTCAGTCACGTCCAAATCAAACATGCCCGGCTCCTGGATCCGAAAACAAACAAATAGATACAAGTACATGCAAGGGGAATTTCGATGGAACATACAACTGCTTGCCATGAAGTAAGGACAGGCATGAGGTGCTGCTGCAGGCAAGCATTTGTTCACGTATCTGCGTGACAAAGAGACGCAGCAAGTGCTTTCTGATTTTCTGGGGTTGCCACATTGTGCAAAACAACACCCTCGTTTTGTCATATTCTACACAGAAACGCAGAACCAAACCCAGACCACAAACAGGCACATAACAAAATACTAAACTAAATCCAGGAGGCAAACAAAAAAAACAACCAATGAAAGACCGGATAAATTGCATGCAAAGTTTTTGCAGCAAGTTTGATCAAGGCTCATGGAAGAAAGAACACTAGTAGCGTGGGAAGAAAACGGAAAAGCTAGGAATGAGTGAAGCTTCGGCGGCTTTCTTGTCGCAATCTAAGCTCGAGCCCTGCCGATCAACAATCGAGAAAGCTGCCAAATCCACCTCACGTCTTGTCTGCTCGGTGTGTTTCCTCGATCGGGAAGACCAACTCTGGTTGCTGCCCGGCGGCGTGGCGTCGCGTCGCGTCGTGTCGTTTCGTGTCGTGTCGTGGCGGGGCGGGGCGGGGCGGGCATGGAGTGAGTGAGTGACTGTGAGTGTGAGTGTGAGTGTGGATGTGAGTGTGAGTGTGAGTGTGAGTGTGTGTGTGTGTGAGTGCGAGTGCGAGTGCGAGTGAGAGTGAGAGTGTGAGTGAGAGTGAGAGAATGAGTGAGTGAGTGAGTGAGTGAGTGAGTGAGTGAGTGAGTGAGTGAGTGAGTGAGTGAGTGAGTGAGTGAGTGAGTGAGTGAGTGAGTGAGTGAGTGAGTGAGTGAGTGAGTGAGTGAGTGAGTGAGTGAGTGAGTGAGTGAGTGAGTGAGTGAGTGAGTGAGTGAGTGAGTGAGTGAGTGAGTGAGTGAGTGAGTGAGTGAGTGAGTGAGTGAGTGAGTGTGAGGGAGTAAGTGAGTGAGTGAGTGAGTGAGTGAATGAGTGAGTGAGTGAGTGAGTGACTGACTGACTGACTGAGTGAGTGAGTGACTGCGTGACAGCGAGTCAGTGAGTCAGCCAGCCCAGTCCAGGAATTCCGTGAGTCAGTTGGCCAGTGAGGTCAGTGAGTTAGGGAGAGAGTCAGTGAGCCAGTGAGTCAGTGAGTCAGTGACAGGGTGTGAGGAGAGCAGTGAGTGAGTGAGTCAGTGACAGTGGGTCAGCAAGTCAGAGTCAGTGAGTCAGTGAGGCAGTGAGTCAGTGAGTCAGTGAGTCAGTGAGTCAGTGAGTCAGTGAGTCAGTGAGTCAGTGAGTCAGTGAGTCAGTGAGTCAGTGAGTCAGTGAGTCAGTGAGTCAGTGAGTCAGTGAGTCAGTGAGTCAGTGAGTCAGTGAGTCAGTGAGTCAGTGAGTGAGTGAGTGAGTGAGTGAGTGAGTGAGTGAGTGAGTGAGTGAGTGAGTGAGTGAGTGAGTGAGTCAGTGAGTGAGTGAGTGAGTGAGTGAGTGAGTGGGGGTGGGTGGGTGGGTGGGTGGGTTGGGTGGGTGGGTGGGTGGGTGGGTGGGTGGGTGAGTGAGTGAGTGAGTGAGTGAGTAATTTTGATTTAGTGAGTGGCCATGACGTTCGCCTCAGGGCGTGGCTCTGCGCCTTCCACCTAGCGCAGCAGCTTTTGCTAACCCACTCACGCACAGCTGTCTAGTTCAGGCCACTCACAAGCGCCCCAGGCTGGCTTGTAGCAACTAAGCGGTCCAAATTCTCACGGCTATCCAGTTGCCAGCGCGGAGCTTTGCAGTGTCCAAAGCCACAAAGCAAGAGTTCAGAGGCGCGCGAGCCATACCCCGCATCATACCCCCGAGCCAACCCCGAACCATACCTGCGACTCATACCCCTTAAGGCACGGCCACGTCAAAAAAACACACACCCGCCTGGCAGAGTCCAGACAACCTTCAAACCGACCTCTCGGTGAGAGACGCACAGACAGAAGCAGCGTGGATCATCCATGCAAGTGCGTGACAGAGCGCTTCTTGTTCTGTACCCTACGCAGCAAGAGTCACCCAACGCTTCTACAACATCAACCCCCTCCCTCTTTCCCTCCCTCCCACTTATACTCACTCACTCACTCACTCACTCACTCACTCACTCACTCACTCACTCCCTCACTCAGTCACTCACTCACTCACTCACTCACTCACTCACTCACTCACTCACTCACTCACTCACTCACTCACTCAAACACTCACTCCCTTGTCTCTCCCTCCTTCCCTCAATCCCTCCCGCGCTCCCGCACTCCCGCACTCCCGCACTCCCGCGCTCCCGCGCTCCCGCGCTCCCGCACTCCCGCACTCCCGCACTCCCGCACTCCCGCACTCACGCACACACGCACTCACGCACTCACGCACTGTTGTGCAGCCCTGCCACGTCTGTCTTGCAGACTGGACACATTTGCAACTTGCCAGGCCTGTAGTTGGGCAGCCTTGCTTGGGCAGCGCAGTGTGGAACATGGGCAGGTTGGCATGTTTGAGTGGTTAGAGGTCTTGCAGTGGGACCTAAAGTTCAAAAGTGTTGGACTTGCTTACAGCGCAGTGTTGGAGCATGGTCAGGTTGGCAGGGGCTGCAGATTTGCAACGTCTTGCAGTGACCAGATCTGTTTTGCAATCAAGACCTGCAGTTGGAACCCTATGCAGATTGGTGTAGCTGGGCAGCCTTTGGCCAGTGAGTTGGAGTGGTTAGTTTTGCACAGCCTTGCAGTGTTGGAGCTTTGGCAGTTGTGCAGGCCTGCCAAGTTTGTTTTGCAACGAAGGCTTGCAGTGTTGGACTTTGGCAGATTTGCAATGTTGCAACTTTGCCAGGTGACAGCTTTGCTTGGGCAATGAGTTGGAGACTTGCAGTGTCATTGGCATTCTTGCAGACTGGACACATTTGCAACTTGCCAGGCCTGTAGTTGGGCAGCCTTGCTTGGGCAGTGCAGTGTGGGACATGGGCAGGTTGGCAAGTTTGAGTGGTTAGAGGTCTTGCAGTGGGACCTAAAGTTCAAAAGTGTTAGACTTGCTTAACAGTGCAGTGTTGGAGCATGGTCAGGTTGGCAGGGGCTGCAGATTTGCAACGTCTTGCAGTGGCCAGATCTGTTTTGCAACCAAGACATTGGTGTAGCTGGGCATCCTTTGGCCAGTAAGTTAGACAGTCTTGCAGTGAGAAGTGGCAGCCTTTGTTGGCAGTGGTATTGAAACTTTGGCAGGTTGGCAGCTTGGCAGTGGTTTGATAAGTCTTGCAGTGTTGAGGTTGAGTTTTAGTGTTGTAATTTTTGCAAAGTGGGTTGCAGTTTTGCACAGCCTGCTTGGGCAGTGCAGCGCGCACGCGCTCACGCGCTCACGCACTCACGCACTCACGCACTCACGCGCTCACGCGCTCACGCACTCACGCACTCACGCACTCACGCACTCACGCACTCACGCACTCACGCACTCACGCACTCACGCACTCACGCACTCACGCACTCACGCACTCACGCACTCACGCACTCACACATTCACGACGCACTCACGCCGCACTCACGAGGCACTCACGCCCTCACGCACCCATGCACGCACGCACGCACGCGCGAACTCACGCACGCACGCACGCACGCACGCACGCAATCACCTCCACTTGGAGTTCAAGCGACCCGCGTGCTCACAGACCCAAGGAAGCGTTGCTTAAGGGGAAGCGCCGCTGCCCAGTCAGGCCCGCCACCCGCACCAGTCACGAACCAGCACAAGGGCAAGACAGCGTGACATCCTCAAACGGCAGCCGCGCAGAGGCTAGTGGGCCTCTCACAGGTGGTGTACCGTGTCGCGCTTGATACATCGTAGTCCTTCCGAACCCACCTTCTGGCGAACTTCTGCAAAAAGAGCCGCGAGCTGGTTCCTGCAGCGCTTCTCTTTGAGTTTTGTGTCTTCTGAGGATTTGGGCGGCATGGCTTCGCCAGTACTGCCCAAAGCGCAAGAGGCTCTTGGCTGCAAATGGCAGCAGAAGGGTATGAATCGGGGTATGAATCGGGTATGAATCGGGGGTATGAATTGGGGGGCAATTTTTTTCGACCGGAAAGATATTAAGAGTATTTCAGGAGTATAAAGATAGTTTGGATAGTGGTTCAGGATAGATAGTTGTTTCTATCATGTTGGATAGATCTCCAAGTTTCAAGCTCAGCAGCGGCACCCCCCGCCGCAGCGCCCTGCAAGTCCCAGCGTCTTGCGTCAAGCTGCACCCCCCCGCCACAGCACCACGGATGCTACAGACAACTCTAGTACCAGGACATCCGCAGGATTGCTCTATAACAGTTAGGGCAGGCCATGCGCAGCTTTTTTCGAACCCAAAAGTCCAGGGTCCACCCTAGGTTTTTTGCATTTTTTGAATAAGCGCCCCAAAACAGCAGTTTTAAAACATATATTGAAACAGTCTAAACACATTTTGATAAATATTTTTTAATGCAGCATACCAAAACGAAAATTGAATTATTTTTTGAAAAATTCAATACACCTAAACATTTCTATTTTCAAAAACACATATTTCCCAAAACATTTTAGAAAGTATATTTTTCAAAAGAGATAAATATATATAGCATTTTAAGAAGAATTTTCCAATAAGAAACAACATTTTCAATATTTCAATGAGAAGACTTAATAATTAATCATTTTCAACATTTGGATATTCCGAAGTTGCGCGTGGTCCTCCTTGTGTGATTTTATCTTCAATATATAAAACGCTATACTTACATTATAATTATAACATATCATATTGTACATGTTGTTATTATAGTATGATTATAATTTAAATTCAGGATAATAAGTTAATTGATGATGAGTTGAGGCGTAGGCGTGGTGGGACCCGAATCCCACGAATTTGGGGCTCGAATCCCCAAATCGCACGAACTTGAGACTCGAATCCCACGAATTAGGGGCTCGAATCCCCGAATCCCACGAATTTGGGTCTCGAATCCCCAGTCCCACGCATTTGGGACTCGAA